GAAGACAGATGTCGTCCGTCGGGCGTAAATCTATGAACCCGTGCGTTGCTGTATCCATCAGCTACATACAGGTCACCATTACGCGGATCAATTGCCAAATGCGTTGGGAGGTTGAAGGGTTCGCCGCTCATCGGGGAGGAAGGTTGATTGGGTTGACCAAGAGTCATCAACAGTTTCCCATCGGGTGTGAACTGACGAACGGTGTGATCTCCGTTATCAACGCAGTAGACCGAACCGTCAGGACCAATGGTTACACCGTGTGGGTTAGCGAATATGCCATCCCCCCATGTCTGAAGCACATCACCGTCCGAGTTGAAAACAACCATCGGATGTGTTCCACGATTAAAGACGTAAACATTATCATCTGAATCAACAGCGACAGCAGTGGCTTCTTTGTAAGTCCAATCTTCGGGTATGTTGCCCCAATCTTCGCCCGATGCTTGATATGTAAAATCTCCAGCACCTAAAGTGACCATTTTTTCCTCCAATAGTATGAAAACCCACTTTGCTAGTAGTAGGCATACTCCGTATGCCGTAACCATTGTGCAAATTACGGCACAGTGGTACGACATCTGTATAACATTGAGGTGATGCACGATAAATCCAATATCGTAGGTTGGGTTGAACGATTGAAAGCACTTCGCTATCAATAACAGTAGAGTTTCTGCCTTTCAACACTGCTCTCTTACAGATGGCGAGAGTGAAACCCAACACTCACAACCAATGAACCAATTGGGTTGATTATAACACACCTGTCGCAACGATGTGAAGATCAAAATAATTGATGAACATTGACAGGGGAGTTTGGATATGTTACCATGCGCGCCAAATCTTCGTCAGTGGAGCCATGGAATCTGCCAATGCAAGTTGCTTTGAACCCCGATCTTATCGGGAAGGTATGCGTAATATTTTTGGGCACGATTATCAAGGGTGGTCTTGCCCTTTGGGTGTACAACGATAGTAGATCGCAAGAGCGATCTGGGTTTTGGGCGTTGGGCACCTTTTTCCTTCCGCAAGCGTTCTTTCCGCTTTACTTTTGGAATCAGATACCCGAACTCATTTGGACCTGCCCTAAATGCCAACGGGATAACCGGGCATGGTCGCGCAAATGTGGACGCTGCGATCAGTTCTACACAGCGGAAGAAACAGTTGCAAGGCTACACGGTTATCTTAATCCATCAGACCCGGTGGTCATTGTTTTGATAACCTTTCTATTTCAAGAGGTCGCAGGTTATATCGCAATCTTGATGGCGGAAGGATTTGAGGTGCTGACGGCAACAGACGCTGTATATACGCTCCCAGTTTCTCACTTCTGGAGCGTTAAGCTAGTCGTCGGAAATGTGCTGATTTGGCTATCTCTTTTTTGCGTCACTGGCCGCTACCGCAGAACTGTGAAGTCTATCGGATTGGGATACAGCGGCAACCTTACCGACTTTGGACTGCCGCTGCTACTTGCCCCCGCTTTAGCCTTTGTTTCTGTAGGTTTCATGCAAGCAATAAGTTGGTTCAGCCAAGAAATACCCCTAGAAGCACTAGGGAGCTTGGCTCAATGGGAGCAGCAGCAATGGTCGAACAGTATGCCAGAAAACCTCGGAGATGGCACCGTAATTCTTCTCGGCTTTGTGATGTTAATTCTACTGCCGGTGGGGGAAGAGGTTCTTTTTCGGGGAATTGCGTATATCGGTCTCGCCGGTCGATTTGGTCAGACTAAGGGAATGGTCCTTAGCGCGCTCCTTTTTGCGGTACTCCATGGATACATCCGTTCTTTCGTGCCGGCGGTTTTGGGAGGGATTCCAATATTTCTCATGGGGCTTATCCTTGTATGGCTGTACATTCGCACGAAATCGCTAATCCCGTGCATAATCACGCATAGCTTGGTAAACCTAATTTTAATCCTGATTTACTGGATGTGAGGGTTAAATTGATAGGAGTAGGAGTTACGCACTTCAGCCCCGATATTATCGGGATTCAAAGCAGTTTGTAGTAGCGCGTTCATTGCTTTCTCCCCTGCTTGCGGGGGAGTTAGAGGGGGTACGGGCGATAAATCGCCTCCGTTCCGAGAGTCCGGGACCTACTACAAACCTTTGTCCCTACTGTAGTTGCCCGATTCCTCGGGTGTCACGAGTCGTGTTGTGCGATGATGAATCACCGAACTACGAGGCTTTGAGCATTTGACTGCGTAAGTCCTAAGAAGTTAAAACCCCTCACTCTGTTCCCCAATCGGATAAGTCCCCAAAATTTTCATCATCACGCACAACTCATTAATTTCTGTAAGTGCTTTTCGGACATTTCCATCTTCCGCGTGCCCCTCCAAATCTACAAAGAAAACATACTCCCACGCTTTGGTATGGGAGGGCAGGGACTCAATCTTGCTCATATTGACTTTATAGTTTTTCAAAACCTGCAGCACTTCCCACAACGCGCCAACTTTATCCTTAACCGCGAAAAGGATAGATGTTCGGTCTCTTCCAGTTCGTGCTGCCGAGTGGCTTCCAATAACAAGGAAGCGGGTCGTATTGTTCGGTCCGTCCATGATTGACTCTCCCACCACAGATAGCCCATAAGTCTCACCTGCGAGTTGACCCGCTACTGCTGCCGTATTTGGCTCACTCGCTGCCAATTTCGCCGCTTCTGATGTGCTGGAGACCTCAATCTGTTGTACACCTGACATATTTTGACCTAGCCATTGACGACATTGGGCAAACGCTTGTGGGTGGGAATAGATCTTTTTAATCTGTGCTAGCGGAGATTTTGAGAGGAGATGCTGCTTAATTGGCAAGAAGCATTCCCCGCAAATTTGAAGATTTGTGTACTGGAACATCTCTAAAACATCACGGACTGTTCCATGCGTGGAGTTTTCGATCGCGACAACACCGTAATCCGCTCGACCTGATTCTACAGTCGTAAAGATGTCAGGTTGGGGCGTCACCGCAACAAACTTTACTGACTTGCCAAAGAGATGCGAACTCACCGCGTGGCCAAAGCTACCAGCAGGACCGAGGAAGGCGATGGATAACGGTCTTTCGAGTGCACGGCAAGCGGAGATAATCTCGGTGTAAATCGTGTGTAGCCCGTCGGAGGGGAATTGCCCTCGGTTCTGCGCTTCCAATCGAGAGAGAATTTCCCGCTCTCGATGCGGCGCATAAATCCGTTCAACGCCGGTGCGCGATTTGAATTCACCGACACGTTTGACAATAGCTGCCCGTTCCTGTAACAGGGTTAAAATCTGGTCATCAATCTGATCCAACAGATTACGGTAATCTTCCAATTTCATAATTGACGCGTCAAACGCTATCTCCTGCGCTTTTGATAAGTAGAAGTGGGTTGGGTTTAGAAACCGAGTTTTTTAGAAAAACTCGGTTTCTCTTTTGCGCGCTTATTTGAGAATTACCATGCGTCGTAAGTCGGTATAATCGCCTGCTTGGAGTTGATAGAAATAGACCCCACTTGCGACCGATTCCCCAATTTCGTTGCGTCCGTCCCAATAGGCGGCTTTCGCCCGGTTGGTGTAAAATCCTGTGGACTGATACCCCAAATTGAACTCGCGTACCGGCGTACCTTTCGTGTCATACACCGCAAGCGTCACGTCGGCATCGCGGGCGAGTTGGTACGGAATCCATGTCTCTGGATTGAACGGGTTGGGATAGTTAGGCAAGAGTGCTGTCTCTTGCGGAACCAATGCTGCAAGGAGTTGTTCAAGGAAGAGAATTCCTCTTTGCGTCCTTACATCGGTTGGGTCTAACCCTTGTGTTTGGGTGAGCCAACCCTCGACATCGGCGGGGGTTAGGTTGGTCAGTGCCAAGGGATGCCCCGCAGGTGCGGCAGCAGTGTTTCCTATCGCGCTGGCAACCTGAACCAAATCAGCAATATCCACAACGCCATCCCCGTTCACATCAGCATCGTTTTCCCCTGTCTGTCCCAAGCGTAATCCAACTAGGGCTAAATCCAAGATATTGACCACCCCATTCCCATTGACATCTTCGACCGGCGGGACTTCCTCGACGACGGGAGGCGGTGGTGGTTCCTCCGGAGGCGGGGGCGGCGTAACATCCCACAGAAGCACTGTGCCGTCCCAACTCCCACTTGCGAGGGTCGTACCATCGGAACTGAACACAACACTCTCAACGCTAGTCGCATGCCCGATAAGAGTTTTCAACGATTCACCGGTGGTAGCATCCCATAAACCAATCGTATCATCCCACGCCCCATTTGCGAGAATTTTTCCATCGGGACTGAAAGCGACGCTTTCGACACCATACGTCCCCCTATCAATGGCTACCACCTCCTCACCGGTGGCGACATCCCACAGGCGAATAACGGTGTCCCAGCCGGCACTGGCGAGTGTCTTATCATCGGGACTGAAAGCAACGGTGAGGACATGACCGTAATGACCCTCAAGGACATCCAGAGGTTCCCCAGTGTCAACATCCCACAGGCGAACAGTACTATCTCGACTTCCACTCGCGAGCGTGGTGCCATCAGAATTGAAAGCGATGCTCTCTACGCCGGTACTATGTCCACGGAGGGTTCTCAAACGCGCCCCGGTGGCGACATCCCACAAACGGATATCGTCGTCCTCGCTTCCGCTCGCCACCATGCTACCATCGGGACTAAAAGTAACGCTTATGATATAAGCACTATGCCCGACGAGGGTTTTCAGGTGTGCCCCGGTATCAACGTCCCACAAGCGGACCGTATCGTCCTGACTGCCACTAGCGAGTGTGCGCCCATCCGGGCTGAAAGCAACGATGTCCACATCGTCTGTATGCCCAAAGAGGAAGTGCTTCGCGCTCTCCTGTTTCGGTATTCCACAGACGGATGGTGCTGTCCCAACTCCGACCGACAAGTACGCGGTCCCTCCGGACTGAACGCAACGTTCAAAACAACATCCGCGAACCCGGTGACGGTTTCGATGTTCTCACCGGTGTCAACATCCCACAGACGGAAGGAGGCATCCCACGCCCCGCTTGCGACCGTGCGCCCATCCGGGCTAAACGCACTTTGTAGACATCAGCCGTATGCTCGGTCAGGGTATGAACGGTCGTACCGGTGTCAACATTCCACAGACGGACGGTATCGTCCTCACTCGCGCTCGCTAGGATGCCCTCATCCGAAAAAGTGAGTCCGTAGATAATTGAGGTATGCCCGGTGAGAGTTTTGATGGGTTCACCCGTCTCAACATCCCACAGGTGGATCATTGCGTCGTAGTCTCCGCTGGCGACCATGTCCCCATCCGGACTGAAGGCAATCGCCCGGACGAGAGATGTATGTCCGGTGATGGTTCTGATGAGTTCACCTGTAGCCACATCCCACAAACGGACAGTTTGGTCCCAACCTCCACTAGCCACTATATCCCCATTTGGGCTAAAAGCAACGCTGTTGACCCGATCCGTATGTTCGGCAAGGGTGTGAACAGTTTCACCGGTGTCAACATCCCACAGGCGAACCGTATCGTCGTAACTTCCACTTGCGAGAATCTTTCCATCCGGGCTGAAAGCAAGGCTCCGAATACCACTCCTATGCCCGGTAAGGGTATTGGTGTCTTCACCTGTAGTGGTATCCCACAGACGGATAGCTCTGTCCCAACCCCCACTGGCAAGTATGGTTCCATCCGGTGAATACGCCAGAGAAGATGGCGAATACGTCTCATTTTCATATATTGCGGTCTGCCCGGCGAGCAGATCAGCCTCTTGTAGGGTTGTCGTATCGTAGAGCCAAATACCGATGGCGGTGGCGACTGCGAGTCGGCTGCCGTCGGGCGAATACTCAAGTCCAGCTATCCATCCTTTACCGAATCGCGCAATCGCATCTTCGGGCAGGTGCCACTGCGGATTTTCTTGGGCGAAGCTGTTTGATAGAAATAGAGCAGAGAGTAATATAAAGTAAGGCTAAAAAGCATCTTCTTTTTCATTGAGATAGATTCTCCGTTTTGAGTTGTCAGTGTTGCTGATTTCCAAGTTCACAACCGACAGGTGAAAGGTGGCTTGGATTCAAAAACCGAGTTTTTTGGAAAAACTCGGTTTCTCTCGCCAACTGGTGCCTCTACTTGAGAATTACCATGCGTCGTAAGTCGGTATAATTACCTGCTTGGAGTTGATAGAAATAGACCCCGCTTGCGACCGATTCCCCGTTTTCGTTGCGTCCATCCCAATAAGCAGCTTTCATCCGAGTGGTATAGAAGCCCGCGGACTGATGTCCCAAATCGAATTGCCGCACCGGTGTGCCGTTTGTGTCATAAACTGTAAGGGTGACATCGGCATCGTTGGTGAGTTGATAAGGGATCCACGTCTCCGGGTTGAATGGGTTTGGGTAATTTGGCAGAAGTGCTGTCTCTTTGGGAGCCAACGCTGCAAGGAGTTGTTCAAGAAAAAGAATTCCTTTTTGCGAGTGGACATCCGTGAGATCTAACGTCTGTGCTTGGGTGAGCCACTCCTCAATATTGGTGGCGGTCAGATTTGGCAGTGCTATAGGATGCACCGAAGGTGCAGCAGTTGTGTTTCCTATCGCGCCGGCGACCTGAACCAAGTCCGCAATATCCACAATGCCATCCCCGTTGACGTCGGCATCATTCTCCCCTATCTGTCCCAAACGTAATCCGACCAATGCTAAGTCCAAGATATTGACGGCTCCATTCCCGTTGACATCCTCGACGAGTGGGGGCGGCGGTTCCTCGGGCTCTGGCGGTGGCTGTGGAATATCCCATAGCAACACCGTGCCGTCCCGACTTCCACTGGCGAGGACTGTGCCATCGGAGTTAAAGGCAACGCTCTCAACCCTAGAGGCGTGTCCGGAAAAAGTTTCGATATGCTCACCTGTTGCAACATCCCACAAGCCAACCGCATTACCCCATCCTCCGGCTGCAAGGGTCTTTCCATCGGGACTGAAAGCAACGCTTTCAATAATACCTTCAACACCATACTCGCTCGCTTGAATGGTTGTTATCGCCTCACCGGTGGTGACATCCCACAACCAGACGGTATTGTCCCAGCCCCCACTTGCGAGGATTGTACTATCCGGATTGAAAGCAACGGTAAGGACATGTCCACGATGACCAAAGAGAAAGTGCAGCCACTCCCTAGTGGCGGTATCCCATAAGGTAATGACCGCATCTCGACTCCCACTAGCGAACATTGTGCCATCGTGATTGAAAGCGAGAGTCTCGACACCAGCAAAATGTCCCCAAAGACGTCCCAGACGCTCCCCGGTGGCGACATCCCACAAGCGGACTGTATCGTCCTCACTTCCACTGGCGAGAGTTGTACCATCGGGACTGAAAGCGATCGTTATAATATACGCCCAATGCGCGACGAGCGTTTTCAGATGTGCCCCGGTCTCAGCGTCCCACAGGCGAACGGTATTGTCCTGACTACCGCTGGCGATTGTGCGACCATCCGGACTGAAAACAACGATGTCTACATCGTCTGTATGCCCAACGAGAAAGTGTTGGCGCTCTCCTGTTTCGGTATTCCAGACACGAATCGTCTGGTCCCAACTCCGACCAACGAGTGTGCGGTCCCCCGGACCAAAAGCAACGCTCAGGACAGTGCTCTCATGCCCAGTAAGGGTTTTGGTATTTTCGCCGGTGTCAATATCCCACAGACGGACGGTCGCATCCCCACTTCCACTAGCAAGGGTGTTGCCGTCCGGACTAAACGCAACCCGGTAGGCATCAGCGGTGTGTTCGATAAAAGTTTTGACTGTCTCACCCGTGACGGCATTCCACAGGCGAATAGTATCGTCCTCGCTTGCACTTGCCAGTATGCCCCCATCCGCAGAAAAGACAACCTCGTAGATAGTCGAGGTATGCCCAGTGAGAGTTCTGATTTTCTCGCCTGTTTTGACGTTCCACAGATGAATCATCGAATCAAAATCTCCGCTGGCGAGGGTGCCGCCCCAACCGAAAGCGACTGTCCTAATGAGAGACGTATGTTCGGTAAAGGTATGGAGGTTATCACCCTGTAGCACATCCCACACGCGAACGGTTTGGTCCCAACTCCCGCTGGCAACCATATCCCCATCGGGCTGAAAGCAACACTAGAGACCCAATCCTCATGTTCAGTAAGGGTTTTGGTATTTTCGCCGGTATCAACATCCCACAGGCGAACAGTGTCGTCGTAGCTTCCACTGACGAGGGTTTTTCCGTCCGGGCTGAAGGCAACGCTCAATATACCTTCCTCATGCCCGATGAGGGTATTGATGCTCTCGCCTGTAGCAGTATCCCACAGCCGGATGGTATCGTCCCAACTCCCCACTGGCAAGTAGACTCCCATCCGGGGAATATGCGATAGTAGAGACTGTCTCCGTATGCCCGGTGAGCAGATCGACCTCTTGAAGAGTTTCCGCATCGTAGAGCCAAATACCGATAGCACTACCGACCGCCAACCGGGTGCCATCGGGCGAATACTCAAGTCCAGATATCCAACCTTTGCCGAATCGCGCAGTAGCACCATCGGGCAGCTGCCACTGCGGGTTATCTTGGGCAAAGCTACTTGATAGAAATAGAGCAGAGACTAACAATAGGATAAAAGTAAACAACGTCGTCTTTTTCATCAAAATCTTCGCAGTGGAAACCCCATGCTTTAGCGTGGGGAGGAAACTGCGCCTCTTTTTTTGTCGTTTTTGTAATCTACCTTACACTTTTTAGGTAGATTTGTGGTAAAATAATACTCGTAACTCGATGACTTAGGTTAAACGCTCGTTTAACACTGCCCTCTCACTTCTGAGGTTCACTAGTGAACCGCGTGAAAGGTGTGGTTTGTCTGAGGTTTCACCCGGAATGTGAAGCGATGATAGCACCGCTACATCGTGAATCCTTCTAAACGGATGCTATAGCCGTGCGGTGGCGGGTGTGTAAAGTTACGAGCCAGAGCCGCATAACCGTGTTATCTCTTAGGTGCAACGCACCAAGATAGCGTCGTGGGTAGATTTTCAGATGTTCACTAGTGAACATCGTGTAAAAATCTGCCCAAGCGTAAGTCCCGTTGGGCAGGTCACAAGCCTCGCCCTTCAGGGCGGGGTAGTTGACTGAGATTCACTCTCCGTTTTATATTGTCGATTCTTGAGGTATATTCTTAGGAGTTGGAGCAGGTTGAGCGCAGCGAAATCCCGATGTATCGGGAGAGATCGCTGCCCGCTCCCCTGCTCGCCGTTTCAATACTTATTGATTGAGTTTTTGCATCGCGGCAATCATATCATCGTCTGACGGGTTACTTTTCACCATCTCAACGAACTCATCAGCATCTATCTTGTGTTCCTCCAGGAACTTTTTGTCCTGCGGTCACGGGTAGATATACTCACCGATAGTACCGTTCAGTTTGGCACGCGCCTTGTCACTAACCCGTGCCAACCACCAGTACCCGCCAACGAGCATGTCCCGATGCCGTGGTTTCCAATCGAGTCCCATGTAATTCACCTCCTTTATTGTTAGGTTCAAAATAAGAAGCCAAATTGCTAAAAAACAGGATAACGGGGAGACCAGCGATGCCCCGTCTCGTTTTCACGTCTGCTCGTTTTCACGTTTTCATGCTTACCGAGCGTCCGCCTCAAGTTGTTGCAAAGTCGCTTCGAGCAGATTAAGGTAACGTCCATATTCCGCCCAATTCCCTGTGCGTTGCGCTTCCTGTGCCTCCTCAAACTGATCTCTCGCCTGTTTTGCCAGTGTCGAAATAGATATCGGGACGGATGCACTCACCCCTTCAGCGGCTTCAGTAGAAGGAGCGTCTTGTGTTAACGCGACCTCCAACCGCTTACCGAACATGTTAATCAACGCCTCATCAAGGCTCGCTCCCCATGTGACATTTTCCTTATAGCCGACAACAACGCGGCGCAATTCAGGAATCGCAGATTCTGCGTTCTCCGCTTGGATGTAAATCGGCTCAACATACAGAATTGACTCATCCATCGGAATAATGAGCAAGTTGCCACGTAGGACGCTTGAACCTTGCGTATTCCACAAGCTAATCTGCTGGGAAATTTCAGGATCTTGTGTGATGAAGTTTTCAACCTGCATCGGTCCAGGGGCGAGTTTTCCTTTCGGGAAGCGATAGACAAGCAGTTGTCCATACTGTGGCAAATCGCATCTCGCAGCAATCCAAGCGGTGAGGTTCGGCTTGCTTTTCGGCGTGAAAGGCAGCATCAGGACAAATTCCGCACGTTCCTCCCCCGGTATCTTGACAACCACATAGTAGGGGGCAACCTCTTGCACATTTGTAACCGTCTCCGGCAATTGCTGGGTACGTGTGAATGGGCTTGGCGGTTGCGGTGACTGTGCGGGACGAGGACGCTCGGTGTTATCGTAAAGTTCCTCCCCGATTTGCCACTGGTCCTCACTTGCATAGAAAGTAATTGGATCTTTCATGTGATAATCCTGATACATCTGCGCTTGAATCAGAAACATCGTGGTCGGGTATCGGATATGCGATTTAAGATCTTCGGGCATCTCATCAAACGGTTTGAATAAATCAGGGAAGATACGGCGATAACACTCCGCAACCGGATCTTGCTCCTGTTCCATCAGATAGAAGTTCACGCTGCCGTCATAGGCATCGATCGTGACTTTGACGGCGTTACGGATATAGTTCCCCCACGGTCTTTCGCCACCCATGATACGTCCAGCGGCACGTCTACCACCCCGCTCCTCAATGGTTCTGCGAATCGCGTCCTGCATCGGTGCGGAATAGGGATAACGCGCGGTCGTTGTATACGCATCGATCATCCAGATCAACCGACCATCGTGAAGGACAAGGTAAGGATCGAAATCATATTTCAGGAACGGGGCGATTTGGCTGACACGCTCCTTTATGTTTCGATTGTAAAGGACGCGACTGGTTGATCGGATTTCACCAGGCAAGATGAAATTGAGCGCGTTGTTAAATTTCAACATGTACGCAAACTTTCGGATGAACGAAGAAAGGTCAACACCGCCTTCACCTTGGTACGAGTATTTGGCAAAATCTTGTCCAAACGTTTCGGGGTAATCAAACTCAAGGCCGTCTAACCGGTCTGGATGGACGATGACATAATGGTCGGTGCGTTCCCCGTAGTAAATTCGAGGTCCCGGATTCTCGTTAAACCGATGTGTCCATTCGGGTTCGTAATTAATCGGGTCCATATCCCGAATGTACATCTTCGGCTTTCCGTCCAGGATTTCGTTCACAGGACTCAGCACCGCTCCGTAACCGTGGGTGTAGACGTAGGTGCGCTTAAACCAGTCCCGGCTCACTTCACGCGGTAGGTCGTTGATATTCAGTTCTCGCCCGGAAAGCATCACCTGTCGAGGTTCGCCACTTCCCATCGGATAACGGTCAATATCTACGTCGAAAAAATCGTATTGTGAACGTAACTCCTGCAGCTGGCGGAAGGTCCGCCGCAGTGGTCGCCAATCCCAAAGCCGGATGCTGTTAATCACTGCTGCGTTTTCCTCTCCCCTGATGCTATCGTGGGACAGCTCCCCCGTCAGGGGGTACTCCGTCTCGGTCACGGTGCTATCCTCCAGATCATATGCGTGCAGTGTCGCCCTGATGTTGTAGTTGATATACGTTCCCTCAAGTTCCTGCTTGCTCGGTTCAACTTTCAGGTTTTGAACGATACGGGGATAGGCTTGTCCCATAAAAGCAACAAGTAGAAGTACAATGATGCCTCCAACAGCGATGGAGATACGCCGTAGAAAAATGCTGATGAAGAAAATCAACGCGCAAATGACGGTAAGCGTGAGCAGTATCCATAACACAGGCAGCCGTGCCTGTATCGCTGCATAACCGCCCCCTCCCCGCACAACATCGTTGGTCTTGTAGAGCAGGTCATACATCACAAACTGGTAATTCCATGCACGACACAGCAGCGTAAACCCAATCAGTATGAACAGATGGGTCCTGACACGCTGCGGCGGTGCAAAGCGGTTATCCTCATTGATAAGTAACCCGTGAAAAAAGTAAATCACCCCCGTAAAAAGGGTAGCCAGCATAAATAGACCGAAGAGATAACCGCAAATCAGCCGTTCTAAGGGCATCCGAAAAACATAGTAGGTAACATCCTTATTGAAAATTGGATCCCGGGCGGCTGCGACCAAAACCGCGTCTTCGGTTGCATCGAAACTAAGCCCTTGGCTTAGTGCAATCTTGACGTTCTCATCCCCGCCCGGACTGATGGAGCGGATTTGTGCTGTATGATTGCTATCCCCTTCTTCGATTGTAACTTCATCTCCTACTCTAAGCCCTTTCGCACTATGCTCCAATTCAGAAATAAGGACATCTGTCGCATCTCGATTTGCCGGTGCATCGAGCGATGTCGCGGATTGGAAGGAAAGATTGCTGGCGTTTGAATAGCGGAGAAATTGCTCCCAATAATCTGTCGAGGCATAACCGCCCACAATACTCCCTCCAACTGCCAAGAGTGTAAGTACCACATAGACAGCTTTCCGGAGGTTAAAATCGGGCATACCTTCGAGCGGGATCGCTTCGACGAGCGTTGGACTCAACCGAGATGGGGTAAAGCGATACAGGAGATAGAGATTGATGAGGGTCACGCCAAGAAAGAAACCACTGACGCCAATCCCCAGCCCTATTTTTGTCAGTAGCACTGTCTTGTAGATGGTGAGGTAACCGACCATATCAAACCAGAGCAGGTCAGGATAGATTTTGACGAAGAGCGCGCCTCCGCCAATAATTACCGCCAAAACAACAGCAACAATAATGAATCGATTCAAGTTTGGTTGCATACTTTCCTTTCTTAATTAAGAGTGAGCTAGAGTGCCTAGCGTGTAGTAAATTCAGTGAATTTCTGAGCTAAAATGCCTGCCCCAAACCGAAATGGAACGTCGTTTCCGGATCGATACTAGCCAGATCGGTGCGGCGTGCCACGTCAAAGTCGAGGGAGAAAAAGCCAAGCTGCAATCGAAGTCCAAGGCCAATTGAACCTCTGGCATCATCAAGGCGAAGCCGATTGCCGTCACGCCGAAGCAGGCGGTAGGGGTTTTTAGAGTTGAACTCCTCCTCCGACCAGGTCGTTCCGAAGTCAGCGAAGATAATCCCGCGAATGCCGCCGATCGCCCATGAAAAGGGCCAACCGAAACGAAGTTCGTCAATAAATGGGATCCGAATCTCAAAATTCAGCAACCCCATCCGCGTCCCAATCAGTTCTTCATAATTATAGCCACGTAGCGTGTCAATGCCACCGAGATAGAACAGCGACTTGTCTCTTGCGAAACTTCCACCGAGCAGCAAACGGGTCGCAAAGGTAGAACGTCTGCCAAGCTTAAAGTAGCGGCGGAGATCAAAAACGAGATTGGTTAACTCAAGGTCGCTGCCTGTCGCGCGATACGATTTCTCAAGGGTGAGGTTATAACGGGTACCGCTTTGAGGACCGAATATCTGCCAGCGCGTCGTGTCGCTAACGAGAGAGAGCGTTCCGAGCATTAGAAGCCCACGATTATCTTCGCGCTCTGTCTCGAATCTGAAAGCGTAAGGGGTAGAATACGTCAACAACTGTAGCTCCATGCGACGATACCGATTGAACGGATACATGACAGAGCTAGCAACTCCCGTTAAACGTTGTGAGACGCGACGACGATTCCGGGTTGTCCCCAACAGGTGATACTCATGAAAGTTAAAGAGAGACACACCAAAATCCGCACGACGCGCAAGGGAACCGTACTGGGCAATGAAGTCCGGAGCAAGAAAGCCTGACTGATTCTGAACACTCAACCCTAAGCGATGGTTCCCCATCATATCACTTGCGACAAGCTCTGTCGAATTGCGCAGCAAACCGTCAGCACCGAGACTAAAGTTGGTGAAGATAGCATCTAAGCCAATTTTCGTGCCGTACTTCCGGTGCCCAATTCGGCGCTGCTTCCTTTCCGCAGGCTGTACCACAACCGGCTCCAACTCAGAAGGCGATATCTCAATCTTTTCATTACGTGCCTTCTCAACCTCCATGACATACACATCCTGCTTCCCCGACTGGTAAGCACCAAACAGGATGTGCTTACGGTCCGGTGAAAAACTTGGATTAAAACAGCCGGTAATAATATTGGTCAAACGCGTCAGGTCTGTGCCGTCTGACCGCACGGTGCACAGGTCATAAACGCCACCTATATCCGCACAAAAAAGCAGCTCCTCACCGCCGGGTGCCCAGCGGGGACCAACCGCATTATGCTCACCATGCGGCAACTGTCGTGATGTCCGACTGTTGACATCAATGATAATCAGCTTGTACTTGCCCCCGCGTTCCGAGGCATAGGCAATCTCCTCCTTCGTTGGATGCCATGAGGGATTGCCATCGTCAAAGGAATCGTTTGTCAGGCGTATCAACTCCTCTGTTGCTAGGTTTATAATAAATAGATCGGTCTGTCCTCCACTTAGCGCAGAAAAAGCAATCCGCTCACCACTGCCATCATAGCTCGGTGAGCCGGCAGCGTCTAAGTCGAGCTTGATTCGGCGTTCCAATCGCTTGCTGATAATGTTCACCTCAAGCAGATACTCTGATTCGCGGTACTTGGCGATGAAAGCGATACGGTCGCCATCCGGGGACCAGGCTAACCCACTGCCGTCGCTCCGAATCTCTTCATATTTGCTCCCGAAAAAATCTTTGCTGATGCGCTCTAAGCGGCTGCCGTCCTTAGCAGACGCAAGGACAATTTCACCAAATCCATCGTTACCCGTGATATAGGCAATAAGGTCACCACTGGGAGACCAGATCGGTTTCACGTTATGCGAATAGCGCGATTTCTCTGTCAGGTTCTTGGCAATTGAGTCAGGCATATCCTTGTGCCCAATCATGGGCCAATACTTTTTCTGCACCGTCAAACGCCACTCTTTATCGAACTGTTCAAGATCAACGCCAATCACGTTTTGGAAAGCTTGGCTGAGATCCTTGGTACGAATATGGCGCAGTTCCTGCATGACCTGCCCAACCTTATCCCGTCCATACGTTTCAACAAAATATGCGATAGCAGACTGCCCTATCTTATATCCCAAAAATACCTGCGATCCGAGTATGCGAAAATCCTGTAGCCGCGTCAGCGGAACCACCTGATTAGCGATGCTTGCATCTCTTAATACCATCTCGCCAACGGCATCATTATCGTTTCCGAAGTAGTCCGCTGTCCCCTCCATAAACCAGATTGGAGGGCTATACAGAAACTCACCGCTATAAAAACGCCCGGCGGGTTTCTGATAGATGATGTCATACTGAAAGATGTGAACCAGTTCGTGAAAGATGACCTCACGAAATGCAGACATTGAGCCGGTAAAAGGGATAACCATGCGTCGCTTAAAGAGTTCAGCAAACCCGCCAACGCCTTCGTGCAGTTCAGCCAACGTAATATTGGTCTCTTGAAAATCTTTGTGTGATTGATATAAGATGAGCGGCGTCTGATCCTTGAGTTCGTGCTCAAAATCCTCGCTATGTTTTTCGTAAGCCTCTTCAACGATGTCCGCCATGTTGGAGACTAACTGTTCTTCACCCGGATAGTAGTGGATATCAAAATGTTCTGTCCGGTGAATCAGCCAAGCAAAATCTTGGTCCGTGACCTTATTCTTACCAAAACCTTGCGCCCAACCGCTGCCAACCGAAAGGAAAAGGGACAGCGAAAAAACAAGTAGGAGAGAAAGGGAGAAAACGAGCGGACGAGGAAACGAGACGACGAGAGAACGAGACAGAAATCTCCCGTTTTCAGAGTTTTCATCGTGCCTTCGCGTCTTCGCGCTCTTGCGTTGCATTTTTAATCCGTGATCGGTTTTCATCATCTCATCAAAAACCTTTCTTCTTGTTCGTAGTGCGGTGAAACTTGTTGGGTGAACTCCGAAATCGCTTGTCGTACTAAACTTTTTAGGACACCTTGATGCGGCATAACTTCTGAGATCAAGAATGAACTAACACTATGTGCTTGGAACGCACGCCGTTCATACGTGTCATCCTGTATAATTTCCTCTGTATCCACACTAGCAATTACAACCCTCAACGAAAGGAGGTAGGTCTTTTCAAGGTAATCTTGGTAGTCGGTGACATACCGTTGAAGCGTTCTGGAATAACGTTCCCCATAGTGGCGTCTCGGCTGGCTCACCGCAAAGAAGTCATAGCTGCCAACGATGACTGCATCTACTTCAAAATACTCGCCAATACGTACCAACTCTGACACATCCGCCAACAGATCCTCATCAGCCGTTTCATCAGTAAATAGCCGCAGCGTATCCTGTGTGCTAACAATGTCCAAGTTTTGATTCCGCCCCAATCCAATTCGCATCAAGGAGGCAATCTCCTCCCCTGTTTCGTCGGAAGATGCTATCCGCTGCCTCCCTGAAGCCTTCGCTTGAATAAACGGTAGCACAGCAAAGCCTGAATACTTGGTAACATCAATTGTGGATTCAACCTGAATTTTGATCGGGACTCGCGTTACCGAGGACGCACACCCCCAATACACTCCCAAGCATAAAAGCATCGGCAGTATTTGTAACGATGAGTGGAAGTCTCTGGATTTGGGTTAATTGGTTAATTGGTTGATTTGAGTTCATTAGTTCCTTTTAAGATTCGGGTTGCTTTGAATCCTGATCTAGTCCGGGTTGATCTGGTACATCCTCTTTTTCCGCAGCTGGAGGCTTCACACGATTGCGCTGGACTTGCATCCGGCATTTCCTGTAGTTGAAGCGATAAAACTTATTCTCAGGTTCTAATTCTGTCGCACGCTCATACGCTTTGATCGCTTCGTCGATCTTGCCTACCGCTTCGTAAGCGACACCCAAATTGTTGTGCACCTTCGCATTTTGCGGCTCAATCTGTAAAATATGCTGCCAGCGGAAAATCGCTTCACTCCAAAGCTGCAACTCAGCCGATTTAATTGCAAATTGATTATACTGCTCGATCGTCGGCTGATCCTGTAAGGTGCCACACGCAATTATTGCAAAAGGGAAAACGAACAAGAGTAAGAATATACGAACTGACAAATTAAATCCCACCTCTGACTGTTCCCCAAGCTAAATCTTTGGGGTTCTTAATAGACTTATTGGCAGACATTAGCATCTCCATGCTATTTTCTTGCTTCGACGGGACGTGCCCCGACAACCGAGGTCTTACCATCTCTCCACAAGCGTTTTACGTCTCCGTGTGTCCCATGGCGACGTTTCTCAGGTTTATCGCAGCGTTGAGATCTCTGTCTTGTGTATGACCACACACACTGCAATGGTAGGTTCTATCTGATAGGGATAGGTTACTATCTATCACATGACAAGCTGAACAAGTCTTACTAGATGGGTAGAAGGTATCTGCTTCTACAATCTTTACGCCTATCCGTTCTGCCTTGTATTTTAGCATGGCAAGCAAACTCGACAACGAAGCGTCTGATAACGCCTTTGCAAGCCTATGATTCTTAAGCATACCTGCAACATTTAGCGACTCAATCCCAATACGACTCGCACCGTTGACGATAGCCGTTGTTGCCTTATGTTGGGCGTCTTGTCGAATACAGGTGATACGGTAATGTAGTTTAGCAAGTTTCGCTTGGGTCTTATGCCAATTACGACCACGTTTCTGCCTTCGACTCAACTGACGTTGCAACCGTTTTAACTTGCGCTCGTAACGCTTTAAGGCTTTCGGATTCTCGTAGTACACACCTTCAGACGTGACCGCCAAGTGCTTGATACCTACGTCCACACCAACGACGGGGTGTTGTTGAATATCAGGTATAGAATCGGCTTTGAATGTATCCACAACAATAGCAGCGAACCACCGGTGTCCACGCTTAGAGATAACGACCTTACAGATAGTACCAAGGAAGCGAAGGGATTCACATAAGCGGACCCAACCAATTTTGGGAAGTTTTATACGCTGTCCTTCGACTTGGGTTTCTCCTTTGCCTGCAACGGCTTGGTAACTCTGACCATGGAACCGATTCTTGAACTTGGGAAAACGATTCTGACCTAACTGCCAACGACCAATAGCGTCCTTGAGATTATTGTAGATAGCGCATTTCGACACGGTTTGCGACATATCCTTAGCCCATGGGTACTTATCATATTTAACAGCGTTAAAGCGGTGTTGAAGGTCTATATGACTGTGCCAATCCCCTTTGGCTAAACCTGCTTTGAAATCGGCTAAAGCATGATTGTAGGCAACACGGGCGTAACCACAATGTTGAGCAAATTGAGTTGCCTGAACGTTGTTCGGATCTAACGCTATCTTATGAGTTTTTAACATTGGGGTTGTCTTCCGTTTATCGTTTCCTATGTCGTAGGGTGTAGGGGACTCTACCAAGCGGTAGAGCGACATTCCCCTACTGAAGACGAGACAATATACCATACTTTGCCAAGAAAATCAGACAAAATTACCGTGTTGGACCCAAAGCTAAAGCATTGGGATTGTTGCTAGTTAGCCTTCAGACTAAACTGTGTTGTGCCTTTTGCGTGGCTCAGGTCTATGCTCCAACCCCTGATTGTCATGTGTCAGGTATTCAATGGGATCCTGGTTCATTTTGCTGATTGCGATTCGGACATCACTGAGCTCTTTTCGGATGCCTACGACCGGTTGGTTGAAGTCATCAATTCCCTTATCTATCCGACCTTCCAACTGTGTTGCGTAACTTCTGTACAGTCCGTCCGATTGCTTGTTCAGTCGTTTTCCCAATCGTCCTGTACAGTATAAAAAGACCGCAATCTGTCCAATAAACGCCCAGCCGTCAAAAATCGCCATCATAGTATATGATGGCGACCACGTCGAAAAATCCATGATTCGTCCTCCTTGTCTTCCTCAATAGGTTCACCCAGTTGAACGCTTAAAGGAAATACTCGTTTTTTCGTTTCTCTCCACTTTTATCTACGAAAAACCGGCGAATCTGCGTCCGGACTCTCCTTTCAGAACCCAAACGCACAAACCGATATTGATGAAAATCATTCACTCTCGTTTTCCGCTTTTGGATTAACCGTAATCCCTGTTTTTTTGGGCGCACCCCATTGTGCGGAATGCGCCTCTTCCTTCTTTTATTAGCTACTGTTAATACTAAGAAACCTGATACTGAGAGACCGTCTCCTCCCCACAGGTCATCGTCTGCAGCAGGGCAGGGCGTCCCTCCTTCGTAGCGGCTATGGCACGTGCAATCGCACCGGGCAGTTGGTCCGGTGTCACAACCGTTTCGGCAAAGGCACCCAAACTCTCGGCGACCTTGGCATAATCCCCGGACAACTTGTCGCTGTCCCAGTGCTCCGAAGCATACGGCATATTCTGGTTGTAGTGAGTCATTATACCGTTGTTCAAAACTACAGTCAATATCGGGATCTCAGATCGTACCGCCGTCTCAATGTCCAAGCCAGCCATACCGAAAGCGGCATCTCCCATCACATTGATAACCAACTTCTCAGGCGCGGCCACCTTCGCTCCCAGTGCCAACCCCAGTCCATAGCCCAACTGTGTCGACTTGCCCCACCGATATAGGTATTTGGGGTATCGGTGAACCAAAACGGACACATCCGTTCCCGCGGATAACCTGCATCGTGGGTGGCGATGGTGTTCGACACATCCACGGCTTTGTGAAGTTCGTTGAGAACGCGATACTCGTTCATCGGCACTTCATCCGATTCGAGCCGTGGACGCCACTCTGCCATCCACTCCGCTTTCACCTTGCGGATCTCGTTCACCACGCCGTTGACATCGGCTCTCGGCTGCTCACCAATCTGCCGCTCACCTCTTCAATCATCTGTTGCAGCACCAACTTGGCATCTCCGACAGCACCATAAGCCAACCGATAATGTACGTTAAGATCATCGGTCGAGTTGGTAATCTGGGCGAGGGTGACACCAGCAGGCATTCGGGGGCTATAACCGCCACTGAGGGTAGTTGCAATACCGAGGACAAAGTCCGTCTGCTTCAGGAAATGCCCCGCCATCCGAGTACCGGAACCCCCTGCCGTGCCCAACGCCAGAGGGTGGTTCTCAGGGAAGCCACTCTTGCCCTGTAGCGTCGTCATGACCGGAATGTTCGTCAACTCCGACAACGTTACCAACTCTTGTGTCGCTTCCGCGTATAGTATGCCTCTACCCGCACTGATAACAGGGCATGACGCTTTGAGCAGCGCGGTCACCAGATCACGGACATCATCGGGATCCGCCGCCGATTTGCGTACCTGCACCGGCGTGTAGTCAAAGGCGTTGTCCGAAAGCTCCTGCTCTGCAACATCTGTAGGAATCTCCAAGAGCACCGGTCCCGGCCTCCCATGTTTTAGCCGAGTGAATGCCATCCGCATCAGCTGGGGGATGCGGTCCGCCTGACTGATGTATTCTGTCCACTTGGTAACCCCACCGTAGTTCCGGTGCGCAACGAAGCCCGGGTGCATTCCCACATTCCCGAGGCGCGGTCCCCCGGGCAGGAGCAGTATCGGCACCGAATCGGCATAAGCCTGCGCGACGCCACCAAAGGCGTTCTCCGCGCCCGGACCGTCCTGCATCATGAAGACACCGATGCGATTCCCAGACATAATGCGACTGTACCCGTCAGCCATATTCACACCCGCCCGCTCTTGGCGCGTGAGGATCGGTCTCAATCCCTCTTTGGCAGCCGCATCTATCAGCGAATGGTGCGGGAAGCAGGCGAACCAGTCGAGACCTTCAGCTTTCAGAATCTTAGCAATTGCTTGATTACCTGTCATGTATTTCTATCCTTTCAATTTGCTCCAGAGGAGCGACATGTCTATAGTATGCCAATACCTCTGATGCCCGTGCTCCAAAGGAGCACTATGTGTATAGCAAAGCGTGTTTGCCCCAAATACCCAAAGTCCTAGTGGGGCGGTAGGCATCAATCTGCGCTACTATACCACCCTTGACAAAAGAGATCAACAATATTCATTTTTTCCGAGTGCTAACAGGCAGACGATTCAGGCAGCCACCGACGGAAGAACCGACGCCAGTTGGCGTGAAAGATGTTGTCGATATCCGCATCACTGTAGCCACGATCCACGAGAATCGGTTCCAACTTTCGCAAATCCTCCGTTGTCTTGAAGTCAGATGGCATGTGGTACGTGGCACCCGTATCCGTGCCAATCGCTGCGTGCAGCGTATTCCCCGCCAGTTGACAGACATGGTCTATATGATCAACCACCGTCGTCAATTTCACATGCTCCGTCGACGATTCGCCATGCACCCAATCGGGGACGAGCATCCACGCATCGAGGGCAGCACCAATCACCGCACCACGCGCAATGAGTCGTTGGATCTGTTCATCGGAAAATTGTCGATCACCGGGAACCAGTGCACGACAGTTATTGTGGCTGGCAATCACAGGACCATTGAAACGATCAAGTGCTTCGTAGAAACTCATATCGGACAGATGCGTCAAGTCAAGGATCATCCCAACCCGTTCAAACTCCTTGAGCAATTCAATCCCCTTCGGCGTCAGGGGCCCACTCACACCGGTGCCAGCTGCATAATGGCTGAACCCAAAATGCGCCAACATAACACTACGCAGCCCGTCCTCCCACCACGCCTCCGCCTGCGACGGTTCGACAATCGGATCGGCACACTCCATGGATAGGATAACTCCAACAGGGGTGCTCTCATCACCGCCCTGCTCCCAAGCACCCCAGTGCGCGTCCAACTCGCCGGACGTGCGGATCAGTTTTATCTCTCCCTGCCCTTCAAGGATTCGGTAATACGCCAACTGTCCCTGCGCCCAAGCGTAAGCCATCCGTTGCGTACCGTAGTCGAGGTCTATCCGTCGGTGCCCTGTAACTGGCTGGACTTCGCGCTTCGCTCGCGCCGATATGGAAGACTGACAAACCGCCACACCCGCACGACGCATCTCCGGCAGACTGACAGTTGCCCCACCCCGTTCAAGTGCGTCCGTCATACCAACCTCGCGGGCATTGATCTGTGCAACCGATTCGGTCTGATCTCGATTGTGCGCAAGCGCGAACAACGCCAAATCCAAATGTCCATCAAAAATCAGCCGCATCTCAAGTTTCCCCCAATGAACCAGCATCGTAGGTTGGGTTGAACAGTAACTAATGAACCAATGAACTATGGTGGATTTTTAGAATTAATTAGATACTCCCAATGCACAGCCAACCCCCTAAATCCCCCAACTCCCCTGACAAGGGGAGAAGATGAGAGGGGATCTTCTCCCTTGTCTTTCCCCTCTTATCAGAGGGGTTCAGGGGGACTTTGGAAACTTCGCTAGGGTCGGGGTTATTGGTGAATGTCTACCTATTTCTCTAATTCACTATAATCAACCCTCATCAAGTTCACCCGCAATACGCTTCAGGTGATTTTGACGCGGCTCCGAAGCCCGCCGCAAAGCAGCTTCCGGCACATGAATCCGCGATAGAACCTCCGGGGCAGCGCGGACAAATCCCTCTGCATATTGCGTCCCCGCCGACCAGCCCGCATTGCCCGTATGGATCTCAATCCGCTTGCGGGCGAAGGTTTCGGTGTGCCCTTGGCTGCTGAAAAGGATTTCCGCCTGAATCCGCTGCTCCTTCCAGTCCGAAATGTCCACATAGAAGTCAATCTCGTCTGGCATGTAATAGACACCGGGATAATAGGTCGCTGCAATCGTGTGAGGTCTCTGACGGCTGCCGTAATCAGGCGTTCCCGCCAACCCCTGCGCCTCCAAAATGGCAAACGCCGTCTCATCGTGATCGTTGTGTGCAGCAGAAGCCATAGCGTTACGTCCACTCAGGTGCGGTCTCTGCGTGATTAACACATCCGGACGCACATCATAGATAATCTGTCGCAGTGCCTCCACCGTCTCCGGCGTGTTATGGAACGGTTTATCAGGAAAATCAAGGATCCGTACATCCGTCACCCCGAAAATCGCGCAGACCTTACGAAACTCGACCTCTTTGATCCTGGCGTAATCATCAGCACTTGGTTGATGATCTCAGGATCCTGCTCTGCCTCCGGCTTGAGCAGCTCGTCATGGAGCTTCTCATTATGCGTACCGACCCCGTTGGTCATACTGACAACTGTGATGGAGTCCCCTTGGGCAGCATGAATGCCGCAAGTGCCAGCACAGTGAGTAAAATCGTGTGGATGTGCTTTAACCACAAGAAACCGAAGCGATTGATCTTGCATCACAAACCTCCTCTATACCCTGTAAGGGTACTTGATCCTTAGCCAAATTTATCTGTGTAGACGCAATCTCGTCTTTCTTACGACAGACCGAAACTTCTAGCCCCAAGGGGCACAGTGATACACGTCAAAGCCCATCGGGACTAGTGTTAGCTGACTATGCTATGACTCACCTCCCTGCTTCCCCGCTAACTAGCTGGCTGCTGCTGTTGTGGGTGTAGCGGCGGAAGTTCCGGATAGTTCCCACGCGCCGTCGCAACGTAATCAACCCCTCAACAATCATCCACACCTGCAACGTTTCAACGGCAATACCGAACGCAAAGAGCAGGTACTTTCCCAGTGAACACCATCCTGTATCGGGATTAAACATCTGCCAGAGCATCGCCCACGCCGGCATAATCAACATCACCACCATCGGAATCACCGCGAACCAGATCGGCCGATTCCGTCGTAGCAGATAGAAATACCGTCACCATAAAAGCGAGCCCCGCCAACAGTTGATTCACCGCACCAAAGAGGGGCCATAAAATCAAACCACCACTTCCGGGCCCATTGGGTCCCGACATCAGTGCGACCGCACCCCCCAAGAACAGAGCGACGCCGGTCGCCACATACCGATTGGTGAGCGGTTTAATCTGCACAGTTTGTGCGAGTTCTTGGATCACGTAGCGTTGCAATCGTGTCGCAGTGTCTAATGTCGTCGCCGCGAAGCTTGCAACCAACACCGCCATGATTGCGATCGCCATCTTCAGCGGAATACCGACGCTTGAGAGGAAGTTCCCACCGCCCTCCACAAAGCACCTACCTTTTTGGCAAGACTGTGACCCGCCCAGCCGCCGACCGTCCGCGTTGTGCCATCGGGGTTCGTCACCGTTTCGGTTGTAGCATAGCGCGTCCGCCACGCCTCTTGATACCGAATCTGTTGCCCCGTCTCAGAACTAATCACAGGCTGAAAAGCGTAGCTCGCGCCCGTTCCACTCCGTTCAAAAAGCCCCATACCAATCCCGGCGCAACACGCGAGGATGACGATCACGGCGAGTCCACCCTCAAGTAGCATCGCACCGTAGCCGACATACTGCGCATCTTTCTCCGAAGCGACCTGCTTACTGGAGGTGCCAGAACTCACCATGCAGTGGAATCCACTGATCGCACCACAGGCAATGGTGATAAACAGGAAGGGCCAAATCGGCGGCGCATCGGGCGGAATATCAGGCGCGATCGCAGGTGCAGATGCAAAGAGATCCGCTCTCCCCGTCAAACCCGCAATAGCCAGCCCCACAATCAGCAGGCCTAGTGCCACAATCAACTCATGGCTATTGATAAAATCACGCGGCTGCAGGAGTGTCCAGACCGGGAGCACAGACGCAATAAAACAGTACACAAATAGGACCAGTGTCCAAATGACCACTGCGTTCACAAATGTATGCCCTAACAGCGGAATGCCAAACCACGCCGAAATGTCAATCGGAAGCAGATACGCGCCCACCCCCATCGCAAGGTACATTATCCCAGCGCGATGATGGAAGGGATCAGGATATTTCCACCCCGCCGATAGATCCAAACCCGATGCCAACCGCGAGCGGAATCTCGATCCAGACCGAAAGCACCGACTCCGGGTAGAGCGCGAAGATGATCGCAATGACCAGACCAAAGATAGCCAAAACAACGGTCAACGCCATGAATAAGATGGCTAAAACACAACTTCGCTCGCGGCGTGATCATCCGCCCCGCGATGTCGCCAACCGTTGTCCACGATTGCGGAGCGAGACCATCAACGCACCGAAGTCATGCACCGCACCGATAAAAATCGAGCCGAGGACAACCCACAGCAGCGCCGGCAGCCAGCCCCAAAAAACCGCAATCGCGGGACCAACAATCGGTCCCGTGCCTGCAATGCTTGTGAAATGATGTCCGAAGATAATCTCCTTCTTCGTCGGAACATAGTCCACATCATCCCGCAATTCTTGGCTCGGCACCTGCGCCTCCGGGTTAATCCTAAAGATCTTCTGGCTAACCACCGCCCATAGGTATGATAGGCGACGATAAACCCGAAAAAACTCAAGACCGCAATAATCAGCGTACTCATACTTACCTCCATTCACAATGGTGAAATCAGAAACCAATAAGATTAAGATGTTGGCTCATTTTAAGAAATCGTGCCACAGAAACTTCGTAGGGGTCGGGTCACCCTGACCCTACTGGCAAGCACGGGCGGGGAAACCCCGCCCCTACAATTTTCTCAGCGTTTTGCACTTTCTTTTTGTATAAGTTCCGTAGATTGGGCACTATGAACCAATGAACAAATTGTTTTCACGCAACGTTTCACACATCACGTTTCAGATCCCAATCGAATACCCATCGCGCCGCGGATCCGCACCACCCATGAGCGAACCTTCCGCTTGATCAACCGCGATACCCTGACCGCCACCGACGCCAGCCGTCCAGTCAGGCATCACGTTAGGCTCATGCCCACGCGCCTCAAGTTGAGCTATGACATCGGCGGGGATGCGTCCCTCCATACTCACAGCAGCGCCCGCACTTTCAACCCGTACACGCGTGCCTCGATCGCCGCTTGGATATTCATGCCATGCTCGATCAGGTTCAACACCATCTGCGCCGTCGTCTGTAAGATCGCCGTGACTACCGGCGTACCAATCGCCGCGAACAGCTTCCCGTCCTTCCAGACTTGGCACGGCGACATACACATCTCGATCTGTTTGTGCGATCCAGATGGCGTTTGGACTCTCCGGTAAGAGATCAAACCAATTCATAAAGTTATTCAGGAACATCCCAGTCTCACCGAGCGCGACACCAGAGCCGAAACCGGATCCGAGACTCTGCGTCACAGCAACCGCGTTCCCCTCGCCGTCAACCACATCGAAATGGGTCGTGCACTCGTTCATCCATTCGGCAGCGATTCCCCGGCAGAATCTCGTTCGGCAGCTTATCCTTCGTGTAACGCTCACCGCCACCGACTCCCGCACGGTATCCAATCCGCTTCCGTTGCTCGGCGGCGTAGCCTTTAGAGAGCAGTCCGGTGATTGGCGGATTCTCCGCACAGGTATATTCCGCACGGTCTGCGCTGGCAAGCTTTATCGCTTCAATCAGACAGATGGAGATACTGCGCCGAGTTATGCCCCATATCACCGAGCGGATCGTTCTCTAAAATATTGAACGTCTCCAGATACTGAAACCCGACACGGCGGCGGCGGACAGAAAATCTCAAAACCCTTGAACGTCGTCGAGATCGGCGCGTACCAATCCACCTGAAAATCCGCAAGATCCTTTTCCGTGATCAACCCGTCATTCTCTTGGAAGAACTGAGCGATATGCTTCGCAATCTCACCGCGATAAAAGACCTCTGCACCACCTTCAACCACCTTTCGGAAGGTCTGGGCAAGCTCTTTCTGCACCAACACCTCGCCCGGCTGCGGTGTCCGTCCGCGAGACATGATAATCTTCGCACCCGTTGACGAGAACCGCGTAGCCGCACCCGCCATAAACTCAGCATTCTTCGCCGTGACAGCGTAGCCGTTGTCCGCATGTTCAATCGCCGGCGCGAAGATATCCGCACGGTCCATGCTGCCGTACCGATCGAGGAGCGCCAACCACCCCCCGCACGCGGCAGGAATCATACCCGCCCGGATCCCAACCTCATTCGACCCCGGCACCGAATATGCGTCAAGCGACGCCTGATAGGGGCTGGTTCCCATGTAGTCGAGGACCTGGATTGTGTCCTCCTTCGCGTGGTAAACCAGCATATAACCGCACCCAGCGATGCCCGACATATACGGTTCAGCAACATTGAGGGTAGACGCAACCGCAACCGCCGCATCGAAAGCGTTGCCACCCTGAAGTAATATCCGCGCACCCGCCAAACTCGCAAGTGGATGCGCGCTCGAAACCATACCCCGCGTACTAGTAACAGTCGGACGGTGCGTAACACCGTGTGATGGAAATGCCATATTCAATTCCTCCTTAAAGTAGTAGGCACACGCCGTGTGCCGTAACCTGATGCCGTAATCCGTAAACACACCTATAGGTCGGGCATCCCCGATAAATCGGGATTTTCAACTTGCCCGACTCAAACAATCCAACGACGATAATTCGTAGGGAACGGAGATCTCCGTTCCGCCCCTCGCTCCAGAGGAGCGATATGTCTATAGAAAGGCGATATGTCCAACGACCGCGCTCCAGAGGAGCACAATGTGTATCAAAACCCACTACCCCCGTAGGTCAGGCATCTTGCCCGACTCCAGCGATCTAGTGTGGAGAACTCGTAGGGAACGCAGACCTCCGTCCCGTTTCTTCCTACGCATTACGTATTACCCGTTATTCTTCATTTAGCCCCAGAGGGGCGATATGTTTATAGAAATATTGAATCCCCATAACCTAAGCCCCTAGAGGGGCGACATGTGACAACTGACTCTACACTAAACTTCTGATGATAAAATTACGCCGGTAACCTGTCAATATGAGGTCTGAACGCCTCTTCCAGCCGAATCATCGTATCGATCATGGCATCCTGTATCTCTTGCCATTTCTCCTCATCGTCGCGGTAGCCCCCCAGAGACAGTTGTTTGCCAATTCGACAGGAGCGTTGACCTTCAAGTCGCTGCCATTCGAGCGGTTCGCCAAATACTTCCTCAATCTTTCCTTTAGCTTTTTCGAGTGTATCGAAGATCTCATTGTTTGCGCTATCTGCATCCCTACCTCTATCAATGTACAGTTCCACACCAGATCCACGTTGTCGGATAACATAGCGAAAGAATAACCCACTTTTTACTGTTGTCCATATTTCTGACCTCTGGCTGGGCGAATTGTTGGCATGTAGTAAAGTTTCTTCTTTAGCTCGCTCTAGCAATTGTGTCCAAAACCGACGGCGGAGGCTGTGCCGTTCTGTGAATTCTCTTTTTGTTTCGCCAACTGCTTGACTTTCCTCACTTGAGCCAACAATCAGTGTCAGCAGCGGTGCGGGTGGTGACTCTTCAATCCGAACCGCTTCAAGCTTCAACAGATAGAAGGAAGCCGAAGACGATTCATTCAGCCACGAAATCGCACTGATGTGTTCAGGTCTGGGATCAGCGACAATCCAGATAGCTGCTCTCGCACCAATTTGAGTCAAATAGGTGATTAGCTTGCCGAGATGGTCATGGTTACTCCGCTCAAGCTGATTTTCAATAATGACAGGATTCCCCGATTCATCCTCCGCGACGAGGTCTACGATGAAATCACCCGCTGCCTGTCCACGTTCTATGATTGAAAGCGACAAGTCAATCGCATTATTCAACACATCAATGTTCTCCGCAAGCCACGGTGTGAAATCTTGTGCTTCATGGGGCCAAACCTCACGTAAAGAAACCCTTCGTAGGCTTCCAATCATCTCCTCACCTCCCTGATATATTCATGTTACAGCGGTTGTAGGGAACAACGATCGTTGTTCCCTACGATACAGCAGAACCAATGAACTAATGAACCAATACCTCTGCCAACTCCGTGAAATCCGCAACCGTCACATCCGGCAAATACGGCGAATCCTCATACGGCAACTCATAACGATTGACAAACGCAGACTTGTAACCACAAACCTTCGCCCCCATTACATCAAACGAATTCGCCGAAACCATCAAGCACTCACCCACCTCAAGCCGGAGCCGACTGATAGCCGCATAACGATAGACCGCAGGGTGTGGCTTGAACGCACCGACATCCGTTACCGAGATGATATCATCAAAATCCCACCGCACCCGATTCTTCGCAAGATGATCGAGGAAATGCGGATCGCCGTTCGACAAAATCACCAACTGGTAACGGGATTTAAGCCGTTCCAACGCCGGAAGCACTTCAGGAAACGGAGAGAGCTGATCCCACGCCCCCATGAAATCCTTCACCTCATCGCTCGACGTTTGAATCCCATTCAAGTTGAGGGTATAAACGAACGCCCGGCGCACCGTTTCCAGATACCCGCTATGCCCCAACATCACAAGCGTGTCCTGATACTGCTCAATCCGCTGCCGCGCCCGCCACTGATCCCAAAACCGATCCGCCGACACATCCGCACCCTTCGCCTTTAGGAACTCCGCGATGTAGGGTGTCAGGCTCCCCCCTAGGTCCAGAATTGTGCCGAACAAATCAAATGTCAACGCTTTAATATCTGATTTTTCCATTGATCTCCTTCCGTCACGTATTACGTTTCACGCATCACGTTTCATATTTTCTACAACACATGTCGCCCCGCTGGGGCTTTGGGGCGTGCCGTTGCGCGTGCTATAAACATGTCGCCCCGCTGGGGCTGTGTTGGTTCATTGGTTCAGGGGTGTTGGGTTTTACGGTTCCCGTTCACCCAACCTACAACATTGAATAACAAATTAAGCGGAGGCGGCGGAAAACGTGAAACATGATACATAATTGGTTCATTAGTGGATTGGTTCATTTAGCCCCAGCGGGGCGACATGTTATAGAACCGCCGAACCCCCACGCACCTAAGCCCCAGAGGGGCGACATTGTATGCAGATTTTCAAATATTCTTCAGCAAGGAGTGGATTTGCGTTAGTGTCATTTCAATGCTTTTGGAGATTGGCTCTGGTTTCTCAAGCGTTTTGCCTTGCGTGTTAGCACCGGGCAATTCTTGGACAAATCCGATGTATCCTTCTGGGACTTTTTTGTAAACTGCGGTGAATTTCATATTTTTTTTTTTTTTTTTTTGTTTTTGTGGTTTTTGTATTTTATGGAGGCTCAACAATAATTATTCTTCAATCATCCCTTTGATTGACTTGCAAATCTCCGTTCGAGTCATGAGAATTGTGCTATCCTTGTCCCCGTGGGTCATATATAAAGCAATTAAGGTATTCAATCTGGATGTTATTTATATCTTCAATGTCAAAATTAACTGTTTCCTATTCTGTTTTAATCAGTCGACCCTTTTCGTGTCATTTTAGTTTCAACAACAATTTTCTCTTTTTTAGTAGAAAATCCATTTATGCTGATTTCCCTGCATAACTTGGTGTCCATTCCTCATGTCTTATAATCGTCAAAATATAAAACCAACAGCATTAACAAATACTGCACACATACCATTGCTAACATCAAGTGGTTTTCTGTCATGGGATCTGTTGCGCAATTTCCGGGCTATCAAGTGAAGTTTGTTTGAAAATACCCTTTGCAATGCTTCTACAGGGCTTTCTGCCTCTGCTCAGAGAGATTTGCTTCTTCCTTGCCATTTCTAAGGAAATCTTCACACACATGTTCACAGAAATCTGGAGCCGATAATCATCACCTATCGAGCCTGCAAAAGTATGTTGTAAAGCACCGGGTATTGACTCATCGCACTAAGGACAGCTAGTATATGTACTGGTTTTTCCTCCACACACAATCACAGAAATCTTTATGATATTCAGGAGTTTTGCGAATTCTCGCATTGATAACATGACATTTAAGCATATCTGCGATCGTATCTCGCCAAAGCAGGGTGCTCGTGTTGATTCCGAAAAATGGACGTCACTCGTCTTCAAGCATAACATAACCTCCACATCGCACGTCTTTACTGCCTAACGGTTCGTTCAGCACAGCACGGTATATCCCTATGTGCCGTGTTAATCCGCAGCAATCCACCACGTCCGGCAACCCCTGACACAAGCAATCGGCGCCACCGATCTCGACTCCAGCATGCACCTTCCCACCACCCGACAATATACTCCTCATCATCCGCACGGTTCGGGTCATTGACGATGCCGCTCCGTTCATCCGTCTTGACGCGATACTGATCTATCACCCACTCCAACGCGACCGAGTTTCCCAACCGATACATCACCTTCGCCGTATCTCCGTCAGCGTCAAGGGCAATCGCTTGTACTGTACGTCTGTCTCTGGACACTTCACTCTTCTCCACACGCCAATCGAGCGAGCTTTCCCGGCGTCTCGACTAAAACGGCTCCAGCGATGATGCACTCGTCACATCTTCACTCAGCGCCGACGTGAATCTCCCCCAACCGTTGTCCCGCTTTGGCGAACTCCCAAAAGTCCGGCGTGTATGGCAGATGCGGCAGCGGTCCGCCTGAGATTCGCCTGCATGATACCGCTCCCGATATTGTCGGGTGTGGAGCAGACCGTAGACATAATGAAAGATGTCCCACTTGCCGATGGTCTTGTCCCCGTAATGCGCCCGGAATTGTGCCAACGCCCAATCGGTGATGTTTTCCCGGCGGTTTCTCCCGTCCTCGTCGTAGGTGTAAAAGGGGAAGCATTGGGTTCCACCATTCGACGAATTTGAAAATTTTAGTTCAACGATATGATTGGCAATCTGACATCTGAAAATATCGTGTCCCAACCCGCTGATACAAATCACTTGATTCTCCCTCTCTGTCTCAGGTGTAGGGAAGATAGACGGGAAAACGTACACACTATTATTCATCACTCGATCAAAATAGAGATTTGATTTCGTGAACGGACGATAAAGGGACGTCCTCACCTTTTCCTCCGAAAAATCGGCAGTTGTTCCACTTTTCAATTTTAATTTAAGTCCCCACTCCACTTGATTTTCGTCTCATCAGTAAGTATAAAATCATCAACATTTTCGTCCCGATTCCGTCTGACTGTCCACACTATCACCTCTGCATTATAGGTTCCAATCATCCGCTCTCATGTTCTTCAGCCAGTTGCGCTTTTGCTTTGAAGTTGATACGCCCACGCGTCACGATTGCTGTTTACGACTGCCGCGCGCTGTAAATCTTAAAATCACATCTATCACTGCGCCTCGCCCCTC